ATATCGTCCTCTTTTGGAAGACCAAACAAAGTAGTTTCGCTTTCACAACGAAACACGCAGCGCCTTCACGACATGCCGGCGGCGGCAACAATTCTACAGCGAGAATAAAAGTTACGCCTTCTTTCTTTGCGTGAACATTTGGGTGGCGTTATGCAAATCTTCCCACATAGTGACGTAGACATGTGGGGGCGTGTTAGAACGAGCCGTTTTAGGTAGGTGTGGCTGACTCTTAACTTTTATAAAGAATATCTCTTTGGATTTGAGACTTTAGTCTTTGCAACTTTACAGATCTTCTTTATGCACCAAGAGCTTGTAACGCTCCAAAGAGAAAGGAAAAATTGAAATCGCATCATATGACCCCTTTAATGACCTGCGGGGGATCTGCATTTAAGATAGCCCGTCAGGCAGAGTGGTGATACATTTTGGTAGCCCGACTGGAAAACGCAATAGCCCCTGCTATAAAAACCTGTCAGAATCCCCAAGCAACTGCATAGCAATGCTCTAAAAACCGCCCAGAACACCCTAGCAACTGCATAGCAACGCTCTAAAAAAGGGCCGGTTTGTTGGTGTATGTGATGTTTCTCCATTTGCAGTGTTTTCTGGGAGGTTTCAGACGGTTTCAGTGTGTTTGTCCAGCAGATCACACGCACACACACAGACACGCCCTGCTGTTCCACATCAATATTTCAGCGTGTGCAGTTTGTAGAGTGCTCACGCTTATGTAAGGCATCACACTCAAATCACCAACACGCACGACTGACTTCGCCACATTCCACACCTAAAATCAAAATCAAACATCTAACATCAGAAATTCAAGCTTGTTTTAGGACTGTTAAAGGATTAGTTCACTTCCAGAATGAAAATTTCCTGATAATTTACTCACGCCCATGTCATTCAAGTTGTTAACGTCCTTCTTACTTCAGTTGCAAAGAAATTAAGGTTTTTGAGGAAAACATTCCGGGATTTTTCTCCATATAGTGGACTTCAATGGAGATCAAAGGGCTGAAGGTCCAAATTGCAGTTTCAGTGCAGCTTCAAAGGGCTCTACATGATCCCAGCCGAGGAATAATCTTCTAAAAAAAAAAAAAGATTATTCCTTTTGCTCATCTTGCACTATCTCTGTGATGTGCAGTGTATCTAAGTAATTAGTTACATTACCATTCAGAGACAGCAATATTGTAATGTTACACTACTTTTGAGCTACTTTCACCAAAATATCCACAGAAATTTGACTAGGCATTTTAAAAAGCTAAAATGTAGTTTATTGCTGCTCATTATACATCCATGCAGAGGGTGATGTGGTAGGTCTGCTATAGCATTAAAAATTATAAAATCATATTTAGGTTACGTTGTAGTTTAGGTTAAAGTCAGATAAGCACAAACCGCATTATTACATTCAGAAATAATACCGGTAATTAAAGCGGAATGTTATAATGTACAAACAATTATAGGCCTAACATAATAGCTAGCCTTGAACGGTATTTAGAACACAACAAGAATTAAAAATATAATTTGCTCAACAAACCAAAACGAATTAATTTAAAGCTAGACTAAAAGCAAACGCCGTTGTTCTAGATGCAGACTACCTCTCTCATTCGGCACGAATCCAATTAAATGTTTCCATATACGTTATGTATGTGAATGCTAAACTATTATTTATTATGAAAACCAGGCTTTGTACTTAACTTGCTTTCCGCACACAAAAAAAATCATCCTCTTCACATGCAAATATGTGCTTGGCCCGAGCCCAGGCTGAATGGCACGGATTGTATGATGGAATATTTAAATTAACCAGTGTAGCTGTATGTTTGGTTGACTATATTTTATTCTCATAATGAACAGGCTGCAGAAATGCAACAAAAATACTCTGTTTTTGGTCATAAAGATTATTCGAAACTGCAGTGTGTTCACTTTTATTTCTGTCATCTCGGTTTTCTCTCCGTGAACTTGTTTGTACACCGCGTGCATAATTATTAGGCACGCTGATATTCTGATGATATTTTTTTTCCAAGCACATTTGACCAATTCCAAACCACATCAATCTTAATAACTACTATTCATTTAGTATTTAATCATTTATGAGTGATATATAATTGTCCGTTAAGGCTGGAAGTGAAAACTCCTTATATTCAGGTGTGCAGAATTATTAGGCATGTTTTCTTTTACTGATAAAATGAGCCAAAAAAGAGGTTTAACTCAGACTGAAAAGTCAAAAATTATTCAATCCCCATGAGAAATATTCAAAGCTAATGCAATACAGAAAATGCAAAGTTAAGACATGACCATTGGTCAGCAAAATGCTCACTGGGTCAGCGGGGTCAGAAAAACCAAGTGGAGAAGAAAAGACACGTGTTAACTGCAAAAGATTTCAGAATGAATTTGAAGAATTAGGTGTGAAACCATCAGGAAGCATTTCGTCTCCAGCGCCAGCATTTTCCAGAACGGCGGCCTTCCTGGAGTCTCCAGAAGTACAAGCTGTCAGGTTCTTAGAGACTTTGCTTGAGTAAAAAATCCTAAAAGATTACCCTCATTTAATAAGAATAACATGCTGAAGTATTGTGACATACGTGAAGACTCATTTTTTATAGGCTTTATGGACAGATAATCCTCTTGTACCACTGTACCACAGAATCTGGCAGTAAGTTTTAGGAGCTCATTTTTAGTCAATTCTGCAAGAATAAAAATGAGCTCCTAAAACTTACTTAACATAATATTGTTATGTTTGTAATGCATTACTCCCAACACTGGCGATGGTCATGCGACACTTCACATTACGTAATCACGTTGGAAAGGTCACGCGCGGTTAGTTCTTCGTCTGTGTACTCCGGTTCAAAAATGGTTGCTTGGGCATTTTAGACGGTTTTTAGCGTGTTGCTATGCAGTTGTTAAGGTTGTTCTGAGCATGCTTTAGAACGTTGCTAAGGTTGTTCTGATTAGGTTTTA